CAGAGTTGGCATCCAATCATCTCCCAAACTACACAAGACAATAGACACCCAGGTTGAGTTCATTCTCGACCTCTCCTATATCTCTCCCCCACCTGCAGAGTGAGCTCCTGTAGAGATATAACAACCTCCCCACCAGTTAGAGAGCCACCTAGTTGGGCCGATGCCCAGAGGTCCCCTGCACTGGGGCTGAGCCCCCCTGCACCCACCCGCCCACAGCCTCGGTGACACAACAACCAGGACCCAAGCCCCCAAGGCCCAGCCAGCACCCCAGACCGGGGGCGGAGCACCCCCAGACCCCCAAGCCTCCACGCCCGTCCCGGACCCACCCAGGGGCAGCCAGGCTACCAGGCCAGTAACCAACGTGCGCCGGCACAGACCCTCCCCCATCTCCGCTGTACGCAGCCACAAGGAAAACACCATCTAAGAGCCACCAGAGCCCCTAACCAGGTCATGGCCACATCCCCCGGGTTAGGCCCTCCAGGGAAAACGTTCCTAGGGACTCCCCAGACGCCCTAAGGCCGTCCCTACCCCCATATCAACCACAATAGCGAAGGCAGGACCAAACCATGACCCCCCACCCCCACTAGGTGATGAAGCCGATCAAAGGAGCCCAAAGGGATTGATCAAATGTGATGGCAGAGGCTGGATCAAGACTAATGTGATCTATTAGATTGTTTTTATATTGGTTAGAATTAAGATTATTTTTATTTTTCCAGTTAATGAGGACCGTTTTTTTGGCAATGCATAGGGCCGTAAAAACAACGTGGGCTGTGTTTATTTCTGCAGTGACCTCATCCAAGCTGCCCAACAAACACACTAAAGGGGAAGCTGGAATGTTACATTTCAGACACTTTGATAAGTCTTCACATATCTCACGCCAAAACTTCTGAACTGGTGGACAGAACCAAAGAGCGTGGATGTAATTGTCCGGTGTATTTGCTAGACAGTGTGAGCAGTTGTTGGAAGGCGTATAGCCCATCTTGAATATCCTATGACCAGTATAGTGCACTCTATGTAATATTTTGTACTGTATTAATTGCAAAATGGGACTTCTGATCCATTGAAAGGTCTTTAAGCAAATCTGAGACCAAAGGTTTTGGTCTAAGATGATCGATAAATCTGCTTCCCATTTTGCAATAGGAAGGGATGTTGATTCATCTATTTTAGAAAGTGTTCTGTATATTTTAGACAATAATTTGGGGGGTTTTAGATTAAAAATGGATTTAATTTGTTGATATTCCAAAAATCGTTTCTTGTTGATCCCATATTGTGTAACTAGTCTGTCAAACGAAATTAAGTCTGTTCCTTCCAATATATGTTCCAAGTATTTATCCTTTGCAACTCCAATCTGGAAAGTTTATCATATTATTGTTTTGTAATATGTCCGGATTGTTCCAGGTAGGTGTACGTTTGCATGGGATTAATGAAGACTGTCATTTTTATAAACTCCCACCATGTTGTCAGAGAAGAGCTGATATTGATGCTTTTAAAGCATTCATGTCGTTTGATGTTTGAGCTGATAAATGGTAGGTCTGAAATTTCTAGATTATTACATAGTGCCTGTTCTACATCTATCCAAGGTTCATCTAGGAAGGTGTGTTTAAACCATCTAGAGATGAACTGAAGCCTGTTGGCTAAAAAATAGTGATTAAAGTTAGGCAGATCTAATCCTCCTTTATCCTCTTTATTTACATCACCATAAAAAAATTACCCTGATCAGGCAATAAGAGTCCAATTGTCCTTGATTAGCAAACTGAAGCCACTAAAGGGTCCCATTTGACCTCAACCAACAAGTTAAGGCCGTTAAGAGTCCACCAGAAAGTCCACCAATGGAGCCAAGCCAACAACGTCCTCCATCGTCTTCTCTCCCGCTTCGCTCCAGCTTCTGCTAAGCACAAGGAGAGCAGCAGCAGTCACCCTTCTTAATTTTACTGGAGCGTCTGTATGAGTTTTATCAGATCAGCACTTACCCCGCAAGGGCAGAGCTCCAAACTCCGCCTGCCACTGCTTCGTGTTCATAACATACAGTTATGAACACGTGGAAGTCGTCCGCCATCAGCCTTGCTCAGCAAACAGCTGAACTTAGTGCCGCTTTCCAACGATGAATAAGATCCATTGCAGATGATGTTAAAAACACACTGAGCGCATTAAAGTTAGTCGCTATTTTTCTATTCAGTTTGGTGAGACTACAGATGTTGCAGATATGGCCAATTTGCTTGTTTACATTAGATATGAACACGAAAGTGCAGCTCAAGAAGACTTTCTGTTCTGTAACTCACTTCAGACCAGAACAGCAGCTGAACACATTTTCCAGTTATTGAATGAATTTTTTCAAGGAAATGGGCTGGATTGGAAAAGGTGCTTTGGAGTCTGCACGGATGGTGCTAAAGGTCCATGACAGGTCGCCACAGCGGAGTAGCAGCCCAAACTGCAGTATCCATCGCGAGGCCTTCGCAGTGCAAAAAAATACCTGAAGAACTTAAAGCTGTACTAGACTCAGCTGTGAAAACTGTCAACTTCATAAAGAGCAGGCCGGCGCACTCTCGCCTATTTCATGTGCTCTGTGATGAGATGGGCAGTGAACACCTCCAACTTCTGCTCTGTACAGAAGTAAGATGGCTTTCAAGAGAGAAGGTCCTTTCTAGGCTTTTCAAATTGCACAGAGAGATCCAGATGTTTTTACAGGACAAAAACTTCCCCTCATCAGATGTTTCTGAAGACACTGTGTGGCTCAGTCAGCTGGCATACATGTCGGACATTTTCTCTCGTTTAAACAAGCTGACGGGCCTACATGGACTCTCCATCAGTGTTTTTGATGTGCAGGACAAAATCAATGCAATGTTGAAAAATCTGGAGTTATATGTAATCAAAGTCAAGACAGGTGATGTTTCAGCTTTCCCCACTTTGGAGTGTTTCCTGTCTGACAACAATCTGACCTTCACCGATGGAGTCAGAGACAACATTGTTGCCACCTTGTCTCTCTCAGACAGCAGTTCAGTGAATATTTCCCAGCAACAGTAGATTTTCTCCTCCCATTTGCGACCACGTATCTATGTGAGAATTGCTTCTCTTCACTCGCCTTCATAAAGACAAAATACAGAAACAGATTAGATGCTGAATCCAACTTTAGGCTGAAGCTGACCTCAATCAACCCAGACATCACAGAACGCCATGCACATCCCTCTCAATAGATATGTAGACCAAGTTGCAAATAACAACAACATTTAAATGTTTTGATTGTATTCATGGAGCCGTTATTATTAACATCCCTTTTGCTGTGAATGTTTTCATGCAGTACAGATGTTAACAATCTTACTAAGTGTTTCAGTGCAGTACAGTTGTTATTTTCCCTTGTCACGTCCTGAATGTTTAAATGCAGTGCACTTCATATTGTCACTTGATGGGTGATTTAGTCAAGTACAGTTGTGGTGTTTTATGACAGTTAAAATAAATAACATTCCTATAAGAACTAAAATTATCTTGTGTAAACTGTATATATTGTTAAATAGGCCAATACTACTGTATTTTAATGTCGGTCATAAGAGTGAATAATAATAATAATAATGGATTGGATTTATATAGCGCTTTTCAAGGCACCCAAAGCACTTCACAATGCCACTATTCATTCACTCTCGCATTCACACACTGGTGGAGGGAGCTATGGTTGTAGCCACAGCTGCCCTGGGGCAGACTGACAGAGGCGAGGTATTTCAAGAGCTATATATTTTATGAGGTGGTAGTCATTGTGAAAAGTTTGAGAACCACTGGTCTAATATAAAGAGTGTAGTGTGATTGTAGGGGATGGACATCATGGTAAATGGACTGATTCTTGTATAGAACGTTTCTACTCCCAGTGTACTCAAAGCACTCTATACAACATGCCACATTCACAGCTTCTAAGCTTTCAGCCACAGCTAACATTCATACTCTGATGGATGCATCAGAGAGCAACTTGGAGTTGGTGTCTTGCCCAAATATATTTGGCATGCAGACTGGAGGAGCCAGGGTTCGACCCACCAACCTTCTGATGTAGATGACCTGCTCTACCTCCCGAGCTACAGCCAATCACATCATCCAAGATGGCTTGTGAAGGTGTGAACATCTTGTGAAACATCAGTTGTATAAATCCACACAGAGCAGCAGGTTTGCTGATCACATCATGTACACTCTGCCTGTGCTGAGCCATGACACAGATTTTAGTGTTCCCCCATCAAGGTGAAGAGGATTGGGTGAAATGGGCACAGCTCCATCCCTGACAGTCAGCAGACGTCAGTCTCATGAGGTTGTTTAAAAGCAAATAAAAGTCACAAACGCCTAGTTAGAGAACTGGTCGCAGTAACAAGATTAAACATTAAAAACAGCTTAAATGTGTTTATGTTACTTGTTATGACTCCATACTGTTGTCTCTGTACACTTGTTATCCTTTCACTTGAGTTCAGTAACTGAGGTACAGTGGCTTGCAAAAGTATTCGCCCCCCTTGAACTTTTCCACATTTTGTCACATTACAGCCACAAACATGAATCAATTTTATTGGAATTCCACGTGAAAGACCAACACAAAGTGGTGGTCTTTCGTGGAACGAAAATCAGACATGATTCCAAACATTTTTTACAAATAAATAACTGAAAAGTGGGGTGTGTGTAATTATTCAGCTCCTGAGTCAATACTTCGTAGAACCACCTTTTGCTGCAATTACAGCTGCCAGTCTTTGGTTAAGCACATAACTTTACTAACTTAGCCTTAAACCAGAGAAGCAGCTAAAAGAAGGAGAGTTCAGCTAACTAAATGACGTTTACATCAAGTGAGTGGACCTTTATTTTGAACAAAGACTGTGTGTGTGTGTGTGTGTGTGTGTGTGTGTGTGTGTGTGTGTGTGTGTGTGTGTGTGTGTGTGCGTGCGCGCCCCTTCCCTAACTTGAAGGCTGATTGGTTGGGTGTTGTCAAGGAGATGACTGGACACGAAGGAGAAGGTTCAACTCGAATAACAAAGTAACAGAAGAGAGGAGCACACCGCTAAACAGACAGTCACACTCTTGCATGCTGCACTTTCTATTTTGGACAAATGTGACACATTTAGGTTAAAGTGACTCTGTTAACCTGTGAACTGACTGAACCCTACTCTGCTTTTCACGTTCGTATCCCGGTTTGGATAATGGAGAGCTGCAATCAGCGGGTGTTCACACTGCTGCTCCTGCTGCGCTGCTTCATGAGTCTCTCCACCTCGTCCATCGACACCAGTAAGTTTTTAACACCCGGACACAACTGTGTGAAATACTCCACAAACTCAGCTAAAAGAGGCTTGGTGCATGTGTGCGTGCTGTATTTCTCTGTGCACAACGCTCTGATTGCGTTAAATGTGTGAGAGTCGAGTTAACATGCAATCATTTAAAAATCTCTGTGTGTTTTTTTTTTCTTTAATTGCGTTAACAAGGTTTTTCCAAAAACACCAGCAACACATTTCAAATAAACCAGGCCAAGTTTATTTGTTAGTATTTATACTAATTACTTCAAAAACACGAGAGGCCGAGACGTTCTAGTGCTTCAGTGTGTGCTCAGGCTGTACTGCTGTCCATAAAGTAGAAATCACTGACTAGGCTCAGGAACACTGACCCTGTATATCACACACGTTTTGCCTTCTACATAACTTCTTTTGAACAAAAGGTCTATGAAGACAGTGCCCAACAAAATTCGGCTTGTAATCACAAACAAGTGTCACAGTCCACCGTGTCCATTTCACAGTTTGCCTCTCCAAAGCCTGAAACGTCCCACATGCAGAAGTTGCATTACTAAAAGGGGGAGATAATATATTTATAATATATATAAGTCGGTAGTGAGATAAACATGTATGATGTACACTCCAGGGTCCTTCATCACTAGAAATTAAGCTAGGCTGCTAACATGTATTTGCTTGTAAATGTGTTCTGTGTCTTAATAAATTAATTATTGTACATGAAATATACAGATGGGAGCCAAACTCAAGAGCAAACCTAGACCAGACCTCTAAAGTAAGGAGATGTGATGGCTGATGTTGTTATACCTAAAGGTTTGTCTTACTTATGCTCCCACCATATGAGACCAAATAATTTAATTGTGGGAGAAATTTAAGAGGTCAAAGTGGGACATGACCAGTAGCGTGATGGAGAATGACCGAGCTAAGATCCTGTGGGACTTCCAGATACAATTTAATTCAATTCAATTCAATTCAATTCAATTCAATTTTATTTATATAGCGCCAAATCACAACAAAAGTCGCCTCAAGGCGCTTCATAGA